GATTTTCCCCGTGCGACTTGTAATCATGGTTTACAACGTCACAACATAAGGTGATAGGAACAACGCTAAGGACGCGACACCATGTAGCAGTGTGCCTGTTTAAAGCAACCATAGTGGAGTATTCTCAAGCTTTAGTTAAATGTGCGTGCCGATCCCTACGCACTATAACGAATGATAATCCAAAACGGATAGGCTATTAGACATATATTAATACAATACATAGGTAGAATAACGAGTGGTCAACAGATCTCGCTGTATACATTATAAGCGTATGTTATATGCAGTCACATCCGTAATTGGTTTAATGAATCCCGTAATGAAAATTTCCCCAAGTATATTTAGTCGATCTGATAGCAACTTAACCTTAGTAGGTCTGCGCTGGCAAATTTTTCTGTTGCATAAGACTTCTGATTAAACTTTTTAATCTGATCAACTATTTTGATTGCATGCGATTAACCTTCACGACAAGCATATGTTGTTTTGTTCTAATTTACCTACATATTTGCGCGTGTATAGTACCAACTACCAATAGTACGAACAGTATGAATAGACCACTAGAAGGCACGACATACAAATAAGACAGAAGCGAAACCAGATTTTCCAAATTTTCGTCCATACAGGTTCACATCTTTTTTGGATTTTTCAGTTAAAGAAAGACCTAAAGATAGGATCAGTTAATGAGCCGTTATAGCATGTCTTTTTCTAAAGGTATATACAATCATGTTTAAGTTATCTCTTCCGATACTCTTCCTGTACCACACAAAGATCTTACGGGAGGACGACATCATCCGAAAATAGCAGCGGAGATAACCTTGTGGCGAAAATCCCTCGAATGATGAAATCCCTCGAATAGTGAAAAACCCACAAATAGTTAAAACCCTCTTTTCCAATTAAGTATTAGCACTTAAAAAAAAAAAATTTGCATGGTAAACATAATTGAGCGCACATATAAAGTAAAAACAAAACCAGTACAGCTCCACATTGTTCCTATACGGATAATCACGCTTCACATTCTCTTCCCAATGCAATTATACTGATGGGCGTCTTAATTTTCCGATGCAATACATAAATTCTACATGAAGGCCATATCATCTGAAGCTACCTACGGTGAATTTCCTATGGTTAACGTCCCTTGAAAAATTACAAAACCCCTCGAATGATAAAAACCCTCGAATGATGACAACTCTTCGAAGCACTACAATCCCCCGAAGTTTTTTTGCACTTCCCCTCTCTTTCTCAACTTGGTTTCCGTACTTCGTATTTTTTTCGCTGTTATTGTACAAGCAAACATAATTAAACACATATATAGCAAAATCGACGCACTTATGGCTGAATAGGTTAATTTTTCAAATTGTTCTTGAGCAATATATACACAGACATATACAAAAATTCTAAGTGAGCGCGATATCAGTTGAAACTACCCATGCTAAAAAATCCCTCGAATAGAAAAAAACCTCAATTTAAAAAAAAAAAAACAAACAAGAATCGTAGAAATCCCTCTAATGGTAATATCCCATAAAGATGCTTCAATTTTCTCACTGCTACTTCACTACAAAAATCGCGCACACATACCCACTCACTCCTTGCCCGCCCCGCAGCGGCATGAGCCCCTAAACCTAGCAAATATTTTTCCCGATTATTTGCTCTAACAAATTCCGCAGACTTAGGCTCATACATACCGAAGCAGCATGAAAACTATTCTAAAGACGCAGCACGTTTAACGATAGGCTTGATTTCAACCCCAACCAGCAAGAAGGATGCGTTTGTTAAACATTATCGCAGTAAATAACCACTTAAGCTTTTCAACACATTATGCGTTAACGTTCAATGCTTATGTGGGTAAATTACTTCAGTAGCTTACATTATCAGTTTGCAGACCGGACTTGGCTTTTCATACATGATCAATCTGGGAATACGAACATAGGAGATTAAGCATTTTTTCGTAGGTAAATGCATTACTCCTCCTTCATAGCTTGCATGTTATATCTTTAGGAATAAGGTCGCTGGTTGGTGTTCACATTGTCCCGTAACTTAAGCTTGTCTGCATTCAAAGCTTATACGGGCAATTTAGTTATATAGGTTGCATAAGGAGTACGCTTGTTTTTTTCGCATACATTTTTCTATCTGGGAGTATGCACAATGGAGGGCATGTATTTTCATCCTACTTAACAATATTATCCGTAAGTAACAGGCTTTTTCTTCCTTCTTTCAGAAACAAGGTTGCTATTAACACCCGCAATAGCCTCTGGAAATCTCTTAGGCTTATGGGATCAACCAAACTCTTGAAGTTGCCCTCTAATAACGGTACGGCTGACCATAATGGCATAAATTATTTTCAAGCGCACACATAATATATACATGCCTCCTTGATAACCTTCCCTTCCAAGAAAACCTCACCTGCTGGTGACATAAGATACAGAGATATATATACATGTCTATTTTATTTTTATTTAATATATATATATTAAAACCCGACGAAAAGAAATAAGTAACGATAATAACCCGATGCTGGGTAAAATGCTCTATGAAATATAAATGATTATCCATCACACCTTGATTACTAAATTGTCGAGCCTATACATACAAGAACATAAAACATAAGATTCATACGATACCCTCAAAAAATAAAAACAGAACAACGTAAAGTAACACCCTTTATTTCACAGTACCATCCCCCCCACCACTTCCTCCACATCCTCTTCTTCTTCCCCCGCTACTATGCCCGCCTCCAAACGACAAACGTTGCCCTTGACAAATCTTACCATAACCAGGACCAAACTCTGATGAGTAAACCATTAGGTTTTTCACATATACAATATTATAAAGATAAAACCTAGGCTACCAACCGGGCCGCCCGGGTCACCCTATTTTCCCGGACGGCCCGGCCGTGCAAGGACCAGGGAAGGCCCTAGCCAAAAAAAACAAAAAACAAAAAAAAACAAAAAAATCCGAAAAAAACCTATGTTATGCAGAAACGTAACCTCAACAACTTTTGCCTCAGGGTCACATCGAAATTCTTTACCATAATTTTAAAATAAAAAATAAAGTTAAAAAATTATTTTTATTTCTTTATTTTTTTACTAGGTTGTTTTACCGGACGTCCGGGACCCCCCTGACTGTCCGGGATGTCCGACCGGACGTCTGGTCGGACATCGGATAGGACAGGGGTTGTCCGACCGAGCGCAAAAAAAAAAAATAAAAAAAAATTGAAAAAAATAATGTGGCTTCTACCTTGCATAAGGTGTATGCCACCAAAATTTTAGCTCTTTTAAGCTAGTAGAAAAAAAGTTAAAAATCTTCAAAGTTTCTAATCCCCACCTATACCCCTCCTATCCCCACCAAAACCCCTCGTACCCCCCCCTCCCACCCCAAATAGCACCCTATCACCAAATGCTCAGAAAATTTTGAATTTTTGTATGAGGGGTCTCTATGGCATGCACAACACTGTTATAATTTTTTTTTTTTTTTTTTTTTTTAATGCCAAAAAGTGGTTGTTCAGGATCCCGGACAACCCCCCTACCGGACGGTTGGGGGAGACTTCTGGCCGAGACGTCCGACCATCGGACGACACGTAACCTAGTTTTTCAATTATTTTTTGGCCCGGCCGGGCAAATGGCCCGGGCCACTCTGGTAGCCTAGGATAAAACTATAATAAACCAAGAAGTTAAAATAAAAAATAAAAAATTAAAAATAAAAATAAAAATAAAAAATAAAAATAATAAAAATAATAAAAAATAAAAAATAATAAAAATATAATTAAAAAACTAGGTTGTTGGATAGGACGTCCGGGACTCCCCTGACCGTCCGGGATGTCCGACCGGACGTCTAGTCAGATGTCCGATCGGACAGGGGTTGTCCGACCTAGCGAAAAAAAAAAAAAAAAAAAAAAAAAAAAAAAANAAAAAAAAAAAAAAAAACGTTCTCCGAAAAATCTGAAAACAATATATGTTATGTATCATAAAAATACAAGCAACTTTTGCCTTGGAGGCATGTTCAAATTCGCAGTCAGTCATGAGTTAAAATAAAAACTAAAAGGTTAATAAGGCAGCACCAATATCCGAACCCAAAGTATTTTTCAAAAGTTTGATAAAATGTCACTCCATAGCATAACCAGACCTATGTCCTGCAAACTGTACATACACAAAGCTAGAGACACCACTACCATAGTTTAATCATTACACATGACATCACTTAGAATTAGGTGGAACGCAAACTTTAGAAAAACAACACTGTTTCATATTACAAAACCGGGAAACGAGCCCGGCGTCCCACACTTATGGGTATGGCATCTCCGACCAAGCCCATATCAGGAAGTTGCTTAGTCCCAAAGAAAGGACGAAAGCAAAGGAAAAGCAAGAAAGCAATCATATGCTCCTAACTCACTAAGAAGTAAGAGCTAAAAAATTGAGCGTACATCTAACTCTTCTACATCTCACTAAAACTGCGAAACTAAAAGTACAGAATTAAAAAAACTAGAAAACTAAAAATACAAAAGGCAAAGCTGAACCCTCAGCAACAAATGGCTACAATATCAAATGCTGTACAGTTTCAGACGACGAAGAAAAGGGAAAATTTGAGCTGAGAATGCGCTCCTTGAGGCAACTGCTCTTTAACAAGGTCATGAATCTCCCCCAATGATTGAAGAAAGTTTTTTCAATGCCCTCGGTATATACTTTTGTTAACCTAAGCTCTTAGCATTACTGGAGTCAGTCTTTCACCCCTGTAGACCGCTGAGTTCTTGAGCATCCAGAGTGTCCATAAAACAGACCCTCGGAAGGTCTCTTCCGGAGAAGCCAACGACCCTTTGGATTGGTAACGTCGTGTGGCTGCCCCAAGAAGGATAAAACTATCAGTCCATCTCTCAGACGGGTCAGATATCGGGCTTGTCCAATGCAATCTCACCAACATGACCTTAGAAACAGACACCCTGATCTTTAAAAAAAAAAAACGATCGGCTCACCACAGGTAATTATCCGACACACGTTACACACCGCGCATACCCTGATGCCCGCGCAATGGCTCCTCAAGTATGGCCTCCCACTCTACGAAATCAATATGCTTATCTGCATGTTCGTATAATAGATCACTCCTAACTAAATCCACCATCGCTGTCAGCACATCAACTCCGCCACGTGGAACCTCATCCGGAATTTTATCTGACGCCTTCGTTACATAAACAGTCACTTCACATAACAAACCCTCATAGCACCCCAACCCCACACACAACTTCAAAACTAACTGACCATTTGATGTAATGCGATAATGACGCACAGACTCGCTTGAAACACGCAGACTAAACCTCAAGTCCCTACCAGCGCTATCACCACGATGATGACGTTACCTCAACAACTCTTCCTTGAACATCGCCCACGCAAGTGATCATAACATCCATCGCTATCTGAAGATTGCGCACACAAAAAACAATACAAAACAACTACAAAACAATCTCCCGAAACTCAAAACCAAAGCAAACACAACCCCTGCTGCCTCCTAGTTATACAACTCTCTCATCCTCTACCACTAAACGTAAAACAACCCCCACCAATACATACAAGTCCTCTCTGCACTTTCCCACCTCCCTCCCACTCTCCCGCTCTCTACCGCCTCTATATTCCTTCTTACACACACACGCTCCCCCGCACCCACTGCATACCTTCTTGATGCAGCTTTCTTCCGAGCTCTCTTCCAAAATAAACTACGTACTTCGCTTCCCCCTCTTCCTCCCCCCCCCCCCCCCCCCCCCCCCCCCCCCCCC